AGATTGAAGACTAATTTGGTTAAGAAAATTCTGTGGCCTTTAGTTTGGACATTGGATATTATATTTATATTGAAAAACAGTAAAAGCCTTAATTTCTCCCTGTTCTGACAGTACTTTCCAGATCAATCTCAATAGATGTATTTCAGTGTCTGCTTTCTGCACATGAAAAGAATTCCTGCTAGGTGAACCACCCATAATAAGCTCTGGTGCAAGTTATCTTTGTGTAAAAGGCTCCTCCACAAACTTAAAAATTTATTCTAAAAAGGAGCATCAACATGAGACTTAATGGCCACAGTGAGAAATCAAAATAAAATCTAGTGTTCTGGGTATGTATTATCTGACTTGTTGAAACAAACCCTTCCAAGAGAAAAATATGTGAAGCCAGTTGTCATGAAACAATAATATACATCCTGACAGCTCTTGAGGCCTGATGTATGAAGTGCTACTGGGATGATTTAGATCTTCTAAGAATGTGATGAAGAGGGGGGAAATCTAAAACAAAACTAGGGGTTCTGATGTTTCTGACGGTGGGATGCTTTCACAGCAGGGAATGCTTATTTACCCAATGGTGGGGTTGGGGGCTTGTGGATTGGAAAGGCGGCAGAGCAAAGACCCAAGGGAGTTTATGTGCACAATCACTGCCACAGAGACTGGAATGTTCAAGCCCTTGGCTGGCAGGGGAGACGGAATGTTCCGACACAGAACTGCTTTTGGAAGAAGGGGTTTGCTGCCTGCAGAGGAATGTTTCGTATTGTCTCTCTGTGTGCGCCTGTGTCTCTCTCTGTTTAAAATATTAAAATTGGGGGGTGGGGAGGATGGGGAAGAGAAGGAAAACAAACATGTGGGTCTGTGTGTGGCTGACAGGTTAATAGGGGATACATAATATTTCTCGCTCAGATTTGAGCACAATCAGTAACCTTTGCTGAAGTTCCAGTGAGGGAGAGACATGGATTTGGCTGTTGTGTCTGTGCTATAAGTATAGATTTCATCACAAGCAAATGGAGACTATATATTGTAGTCAACACGCAAGTTTTTCCAAAACAGAATGCTTTTTCCCATGGTGCAAGGTCAAGCTACACTATGTCTCATGGCAAAGTTGTATTCAAAAATAGAAAAATAATCTTGACTTTTTAAAATAGTTCCTGGTTTAGATGTTGCCTGTGCCATGAACTCGTTCAAGAAAGTTATTTTTTCTCTGTCAGACTCTGTCCTCACTTCTGGAATATAGAGGTAATCTTACAAGATTCTTGCAAGGACTGTGGCAGCTTAATTCAGAGTAAAGCACCTTTAAAAACATGAGTGCCGCTCCAGTCACTTAAAGTTCCCAACATGAAGTTGGATTCATGGTGGTTATTCTGCAAATAGAAGGGCTCATTCCATCTGGAAAAAGCTTCTCTTCCAGCAGACCATTTCCACTGACAGAAAAGGTGATCATGACTGAACTCCTCCTGCAGTACCCCCTCCTCCTGCAGACGTAAGTCACAGTGATGCAATTCAGTGCACCTAGGATGCCTCACTTTCATGTCAATTAATGTTATATATCTGATATCAAGTAGAAGGTAGAGTAGAGGCAAACTCTTTTGGAATCTGCCCAAAAGCTGTCCAAACATCTCCAGACTTCCTTTTGTGCTTGGCCTAGTCATGCAAAGTGAGCCAAGAGGAAGTTGCCGAATGCTTGTGGACTCCTGATTGTACAACCAGCAACCTTTTCCTTCAAGAATGGTGCCTGGTGTAACTGCTCTCACAGCACCCCTCTTCCATGTCCTGAAGCTGCTCCTTGGGCAGCTGCACGTGGAAGTTGCTGGTTGTGCAATCAGGAGTCCACAAGCATTCACCATCTTCCTCTTGGCTGGACTTGCTTTGCAGGTGACAGCACCAGGTGCAGTAGTGGTGGCAGCATCAGGTATGGAAGAGGGGTGCTGCTTGCACAGTGTGTGGGGCTTGAGTTCTGGCAAGCACCCCATTAACACTGGGAACATCTGCCAGAAACTTGGACTCAGGCCCACAACAAAGTGGACCAGAGTTTGGGGAGCCAAACCCAGATGATCTGAAAGATTCCCACCCTCAGACAGATTCCTCACACATGCTTAGTATTAAGTGCCTTAGGGCAGTATATATTGGATAAGAAACTTGATTTTAAGGCAAATATTGAATGAACATCATTCAGTTTCAAAGAGCTGAAACATGAAAGTCTGTTGTTGAGCATTTTAAGCTTTTTGGCTATCAAGTCACAAATGAAGTGGAGCATAACATAGCGGAGCAGGAACAATTATTGCAATTTGGTTATATCTGGCTTGCTTTGAATAGAGACTATGAATTTCATTCACGCTATGCCAGAAGTCCTCAGTAGTTTTGGGGACATTGAGGAATTTGCAAAATTGCTGTGGGCACCTACACAAAGTAGCTAATCAGTGGATTGTTGCTTTGGCATCTACTTGCTGTGTATGTGGGCTTAGGCTTCTTATTCAACAAAAACTTTTGTTTCATTTCTCTTGGACTCCGTGGCATCTATTAAGTAAGTCTTCTATGATTCATCTAATTGCTGGTGGTGCAATATAGCTTCATTTAAGCATATGCTTTGGCAATGTCCAGTAGCTGTTTTTTTGGGGGGGGGGGGGGGTGGCGGCAGGGATGTTATTTACACCAGCGGTCCCCAACCTTTTTGCCACCAGGAACCAGTTTTGTGGAAGACAATTTTTCCACTGACCAGGGGTGGGGAGTGGGGGCGGGGGGAATGGTTTCAGGATAATTTAAGTGCATTACATTTATTGTGCACTTTATTTCTATTAAGATTATGTAGCAATATATAATGAAATAATTGTACAACTCACCATAATGCTAGAGGCCCAAGACCCAAAAGGGCCTTGCAGCGGTGGCATGGGACCTCAAGCAGGCCTTGCAGCCTCGCACTTTGTTGCATGCACACCACACGCTGGGCCTGCTCAGCCTCATGCCTTGCTTGTTCGGTCTCCCTCTTCCTTTTGAGCCCAACACTTACCTGCTTCCCGGTTCCCTTACCATTCCCACACACCCTTCCTGGCTTCTCCATGGCACTTGCCTCCCAGTTCTGCCACTGCCACTCCCTCTTCCTTTTGAGCCCAGGACCGAAAAGGGCGCTAATGATAGTCTGTATTGGCAGCCGCTCCCCAGCAGTGATGCTGGTGCTGGGGAGCGGCAGCAAACGCAGACGAAGATTTGCTCACTGGCCGGCTGCTCACCTCCTGCTGTGTAGCCTGCTTTTTAACAGGTCACGGACCTGTACCAGTCCACGGCCCATGGGTTGGGGACCTCTGATTTACACAGATACATTTTCTACTAAAACCATCTTGAATTCTCACTAATGCTGTTGCAGTTACGTGCTGTTAAGTCATCTCTGATTTTTGGCTACCACACAAATGAGTGTTCTTCAAAATGGCCTATCCTTGACAGCCTTACTCAAGTCTTTAATCTCAAGGCTGTGGCTTTTTTATGGAAGTGTTCTGTTGGCCTTTTTTTTAGTTTGCTTTCAAGTTTCCCTAGCATTATTGTCTTCTCCAGTAAGTTTTCCCTCCTTATGATGTCCAAAGTCCAACAGCCTCACTTCCAAGGATAGTTGCTTCTAGAGCAAGTTCTTTGTTTGATTTGCTCTAGGACCCACTTATTCATCTTTTTGTTGGTCCAGGGTATTCACAAAGCTTTCCTCCAGCAGCATGTTTCAAATGGATCAGTTTTCTTCCTGTCAGTTTTCACCATCCAGCTTTCAAACCCATGCATAGTGATTGGAAATACAGTAGTGTTGATAATCTTGGCCTTGGTCTTCAGTGAAATGTACTTACACTTGATTATATTTTCTAGTTCCTTCATTGCTGTCCTTCCAAGTTTCAGTTGTCTTCAATTTTCTTGCGTTGCACCCTCATTTTGATCTTGCATTCATTGAGCCAATGTGTGCAAAATCTTTCACAATTTCTACAGATTCATTGTTGACAATAAAACTTTGCAATTCTTCTACCTTCATGTTTCTTGTTTTCTTCAATGTTGTTGTTTTCTTCTAGTAGGAAGAAAGTGGTAATATCATCTGCATATATTAAAATACTGATGTATCTTTTAGTGATATTAATCCAGTATTACTTATGCTGGATTAATATCTGCTTACAGATGGCACAGATAGGGAGATAAATTGCACCCTTGTCTGATACCATTGCCTGTACTAACAGAAATCATTCTGTTTCTCTGTATGCATCCTAACTGTAGCTTCTTGTCACAATATTTTCCTGTTCCATGAAAATTAAGAAACTGTCAGTGATAATGGATTCACTATGTCCTTTTGACCCCCAAAAGACTGATATTACAGACTTACTGCCTAAAATCATATATAAATGCCAGCTAAAAATGGACAGTACTTTGGACATTAGGTCCACTTTTGTTTCAATCAGTTTGTAATCGCTAGAAAGTTATATGCATTTCTTATGTGTTTTCTGGCACTACACTTGTGCTATCATTGGAAACCCCTTGCAGGAGCTATATGGAGGATCCCTGTCCTAGATGAAAACACTAACTGCTTATCCCTGCTTACCCACTTTGCGTATATTATTTCTTCGAATGATATAGGTTTTACCTACAAACTCTCATGTAGGAAATCTAAATTAAGCTATTAATTATTCTTAAAGGTGCTGTTTTATTCTTCTGTTGGCCTAAATAAAACTAATAGCTAACTTATCAGAGTTTGTTAGTTGTGACATAGTTGTATTCCTGAGGATTAAACAGTACAGGGTTTGAATGCAATACAAATCATGGCTTCGTATTGTGTGTTATGTAATCCTCAACAACCCTGCATGCCAGACTCAGGTGTCACAAACCCAGGAGCATGGGTGTTTGTTTGCACTCAGCTCCAACAACCCATGAGTTGTCATTGCTGCATTTTTTCTTCTTTTTTAACAAAAGAAAGTTACAGACTACATCAAATGCTTAATGACATTTGTACAAGAAAAATTAATAAATATGTGCCCTCTTTTGTTTTTCAGGCTATCATTTTACTCTGGACATTCCTCATTCTCCATGTATTGCATGCTGTTTCTAGCAGTAAGTATATTCTTTACCATTCTGTTATGGTGTTAAGAAGTCTGTTTATATTACAATAGCATGAAGCTGAAACATTTGCTTCATCAGCATTTCCTTTGGATCATTTGTGCAATGGGAAAACATTAAATGAAAAATATTTGGGTGGGATGGTGGTGCTTGCTTTGAGATGAGTTTGACAGAATGTTGGAAAGTTTGCCCATTATATTTTAGGTGGCTAACTCTGCATTGTGCAAGCCACTTGTAGGCCAAAAGAACATGTAGTCAAGAAAGGTATAGAGGAGGCTTGGTTGCATTTTAGCATCTTCATACTCCAGCTTTTGAGCTTCTTCACCTGTGCTCACCTCATTTTGTAGGTCTTTTGACTCCCTGTGTAGCATTTTCATGGAGCTGGAATGTTGGTCATGGGTAGAAGTTGGTCATGGGTAGAAGGAAGTCTACTTCTGCTAATGCAGTTGATCCTTCTTCAATCTGGATTTAACTTATGTGGGAGATACAAAGTTCAAGGGTGATTTTTCCCTTCCTTCAGTAGAGAGCACAAGACAGATATTTGTGAGATTTCAGAGGAATGTACCCTTGAAATGTACCCTGGTATGTACTTGGTTATAGTGGGGTATTAGTCATGCCCTTTGAATTGTGCCACTGTGAGCAGCTGCCTGTTCTGCCAGCACAGTTGAGCCAGAATTGGGAAGCATCAGTTCACAGGTTGCAGCTGCTGCCACGTTTCTGAAGTTTAGGCATTCCAAGCAAGCAGCATGAATATGTGGACATGATTTTGTTCAGGGTCATTCTGCATTCTCCTGTTCAGGTCAGGAGTCTCCCTCAATTCTCTCCATTTCTGGAAAGCCAGTTCAAACATGGGAGAAGGAGCAGGGCTGATTCAAACAGCTTGCTGTTGGATGAAGCAGCAGAGAGACATCCCTTTCTCACCTAAGTGAGATATGGAGGTCTTCTCTTCTTACTCATACTTAGCCTGAGGTTGTGCTGTCATGAGCTGCCTTGCCTCTAAGCTAGCCTTCCCCAGTGTGATGTCCTCCAAAAGTTTTAGACTTCTGTATTTATTAGCTCTTTCCACATTGTCAGTGGCCAGTAATGATGGGAGCTGTAGTTCAAAACATCTGGAGAACATGAGGCTGGGGAAGGCAGGACCTGACTGAGCATGAGGCAGCTGTAGAAGAGAGGGCAACATGTTTCCTCTGTCAACAAACCTAGGAAGGAGTGGGAGGGAACACATCCATAAAATGTTTCACGGGCTTCAGCAACATACATCTTGGTCTGTAGTTGTTCCCCAGTCGTGGCAAGGTATGTTCTAGCACTTTGTTCTTGTTTCCTTTTGAAATAGAGAAATAGCTTCCAAAGTGGATGGGACAGCCTAATAAAAATGGGAAACTTCAGCAACATGTTTGTGTATTCAAGCGAAAAATAGGGAGGGCAGGTGTGGGGGAAAGCCTGCAGTCTTAGTGAGACATATGGGAATGGATTTCATAAATTATTTCCAGCAGGACTGTGTGGATATCTTGTGGATTTATTATAACTTGGAAAGCTTAGACTTTTAAAAACACTCTGATTTAATTATTTAAAATAGAAATCCTTCTTGCCATATGATTGTTCATGGACTGAGGGGGAGTATGTTGTTTTCCAAAGTACATTTAATACTTGCACCCCATCACCAGGCCACCATCTCCATTTGCAGGATTTGTTTTACTATCTCCTTCAATAAATTTTAAGCAAGTTTCAACTCCCACCTGAATGATAAGTCTGGTCTTTGAACCTGTAATGATTTATGAAATGTTCCTTTGGTTGGGACCTTTATTTCAGGACTGACTGATTCCTTCCTGGAATTAAGCATCTTGGTTTTACTCTTGGAACACATGAGTTGCATGGATCCAAGTCACTTTACAATGTGTGAAATGAAAGCACTTGATTCTGGACAGTAGTGAGATGTTGCCTTCAGTGTTGTCTTATATCTCTGTTGGCCCTGACTGATTTTGCCTTTGCCAAATAACATTGGTGCTACCATCTTATATTCTCAAAGCATTATTCTTTGTGATATTGCCCCTTCTGCATGGCAGTTGCTCTCTAAGCAGAAGTATTCTCTGTCATGGAAAATCCTTGACTGGAGATGCTTGGCATTGAATATGCCAAGCATGTAATATGCCTTAAGTATGCAAAACATGTCCTGATATTGAGCTCTGGGTCCATTGATGCAAGGAGCATTAAATGCCTATCACTGTCTAAGAATGCACTTATTGCTTATAATAAGTTGAACACTGGACCCATGAAGACCATTTTACATGAAAAAAGAAGAGGAGTTCACAATTCTGGTATATTTTGTTGTGCTGAGTTGGTCTTGTGAGTACTTGAGTGCGTGTCCATTTCTCAACTGGTCACATCGTGAAATATCTTTAAAATACATTGAATTAGTAGCACTATTATTGCTATTAACATGGATTAGGTCCCCTATAAATTAGTTCATTAGTTGCAACCCTTTTTAAACAGCGCAATCTTACAATGAAGTCCTTTAGTAAATCTGAAAGTACAGTAATCCAAAGCTCTATATGATGAAAGACAATAAAACATGTAGTGAAGCACATTCCATCGGTGGGGCTGGGTGGGGTGGGCCACACACTGAAAAGGCCTCTCTAGTAGCCATCTTTCCAACTCAGAATGAATGACATTCATGCTTAAAGTTGTAATCTGCAAATGTGTTAGAGAATTTTTAAAATTGAAAAAAACCAGTTGCTCTGTTTGTAACTCTGTCCTTCTGGCCTTGCAGCTTCATCACAGCAACAGTGCATGCAGATTTAATAAAATCTCATGTAAGAAAACCAAAACACGTTTATTTTTCCTTTTGTTTTGGTTATTCTTAGGTTTTGAAGTTCACAATAAAAAAGAAAAACAGTAACTATATATTTGGGGCTGTACAAAGAACAGGTATGAGAAAACAGCCAACCCCTTTCTCTTAGAAGAACTCAGATTATTAAAGGCAACAGCATGGCTTAGAATCTTGGAACATTTTATTTATATATGTAGTTATTCAAAGTATGTATATACAGCTTTGGGGGCCTGAGAAAGTGACTACAGAAAGTCAGTATTAAAAAGAACAATACAACTTTTCATAAAAGAAATAGCCACATCACTTAATTAAAGGAAAAACAATGTCAGCAAGTAAAAACTTAATCGTGTACATTGGTAGCAAAGTAGCAATTTTGCCTTAAAAGAAGTTGTCTGTTTCTTCTACACAAGGTTCAGAGGGAACAGAATTGTTCTTTTAAACCAGCATTGCTGCCTGCTTCCACCCCTTACCCGAGTAGCCATTTCAGCAAGCAGGTAGGGTTAGTAGGCAGAGACAAAAGCCCGAGTGAGGGATGTATGTCCGCCCCTGTTGTGCAGGGAACGTCCAGGCCCCAGGGTGCAGCTTGATCCCAGCTTTATCTTTGAAACCCAGAATACCATGATCATGATGGGTTCCCGACCATCCAGTTGCTCTGTGGCTTTCAGCTCTCCCGCCTTGCCCCATCGATCATGCATGCCACCCCAGTGCAGCAAGATTGCCATCCAGCTGCACTATTTGGCTCAGCTTCATTTTCTGATATAAATGTTAGACCTCCAACCAGACAGCTTAACAATGTGTTCTGGTGATGGCGTGCTAAACATGTCAGACTTCCTGCAGGTTCTCCCCCACTCTCCCATGGGTCTTCATTGGGATAAGCTAGAAAGAGCCTTGGAGATTTCTGTGGAATCTCTCAGTTTGGAATGCTCTCAGCTTTTAATGAGTTAGTGGCTCAGTCTTGTGCAATAAGGAAGAGCTTACCCAAGGGGTGGTTCTGCCTATTATAGTGACTTGCCACTTACAAGATGCAGATGTGATTGTGTGTCTCTGTATAGATGTTTCATGGCTTCCAGCTTTCCCACGTGGCAGTGCAGAACTCTGCCACTGGCCCCGCATCAAGTCTGATACATCTGATAACCTGTTTCAAATGTTCTTTCTGACTGGCTTCATCTGGCTGTTTGCATGCCTGACTCCAGCTGCAGTTGTGTGATGCTCGTGACTTCCCAGTTCCTAACATGTGGCATTACTCACACTGCCTGGTCTAATCATAACCAGACGCTTGAAACTTCAGCCTCTCAAGGGCTGGAGGAATCTTGTATATGCTGGTTTGACCGCCTGTGCTACATACAAAAACAAAACACCAACCCAAAAGGATATGGTCGTGCAACCAGCCACATGGACAGCTAGATTACTGCTCTGCAGGTCTGCTGGAGAAACTGACAGAGGCATAGCCTCCCCTTAATCCAACTCTGCATTTACCTCTCCTTGACGTGCTCCAGATTGCAAGAAAGGTGCAGCTTGTTTTCAGAGGGAGTGTTTGTTCTGGCCTGCTGGCAGATCCCATAGCTTGTCAGTTACTTAAAGCAAATTGCTGAACCACAAACCCAGGCTTGTAACGGCCACTGCCTCTGTCAGTGTGGTAATTCCTATCATGAATGGTTTTAGAGTTTTACTTGCCTCCCCCTACTCCAGGAATACTGACTTGATATAGACCTCTTAAAGTGTGCACACTTTTTTTGGAATATGTTTTTACACCTGCCTTTTGGGGTGCAGAGTGTAGAGACAAGTCACTGAGGCAGTGGATCACTGAGTTGACACCAAAGATGGGGGACGGCCCCATGCTCACCTCTGCTGCCTCGCATATTTTGCTGACTTATTCCCAGTAGGTAGAAATACCTAGAGGTGTATAAGTAGAGTAAAGAAGCTTTGCTTTCTGTAGTGCCCTCTACAGAAAATAGCTGATTTGTGCTGGGAGTTATAAGCTCCATTTCTATCTAAACTTGCATAGAGTCATGCGTTTAACTACATTTTTACTTTATTTATTAATTTATTAATACATTTCTACACTGCTTCTATTCAGTCTGTGACACTCAGGATGGCCTACAGCATATTAAAAAAATAAACATAACAAACACCGCCAGTCACATATTTAAACCATTGCAAGATAAAA